TGTGTGTGTGTGTGTGATGTTTTAGTCACTTCCTGATCTGTTTCATCCAATGACTTAACAGAGACAAATACAAAGTTCTCATTGGTTCACTGTCCACCGCTGGTTTGGCATTTTTACTAGGACCCTTGTACGAACTCAGTGGTTACCATGGTACCCATGTCTCCGTTTGGATCTACAGCTCTTTTTTTAAAATTTCATCATGTTATTTCACCTCACTGGTGAGTTGTTGTTTTGTTTTTTTGTTTTTTTGAAGTGATGTGGTCCATATGATCAGTCAGTTGGGATCTCGTTGCCTCTTAGGTGTTAGATCATTTCTCTGTTTAGTCCCGTCTTCATGTTAAATGCTTTTGAATTTTTTGGTTGCTTATTTTCTTTAATTGTAATAATCCAGAGATGATTAAAGTCCAGACATTGGGGAATCGATGGCAATATGCATGAAAGTTACACCTTAATTAGACACTTTATATTGGTTTTTACTTTACATTTGTTTAATTCGCTTTTTCAAGCAAGGTGTGGAAGTTTCCATATTATTTTTTTGACTTAAACTACCAGTATGCCAGAAATTACTTCTCAAACAGGGCTTCCACTTTGGGCCCTGTTGGCATTCATTCTGATAGTACCAGCTGTGGGTTGCTTAGTGCCCCTATCTCTTACATAGTCCACTGTAGTTCGTGAAAGTTAATCCAATCATATTGCACAAACCTGAAGTTCCACAGCACTGTGTTGAGCCAAAAAAACTCATGACACAACCATAAAACGAAAGTTCACCATCTTGTTTTGCCTGTGACTCACACAACTCTACAGGGAACATGTGCTTCAGGTATCGCCCATGAAAAGTTACATTTCTTGTCAAATCCACTCCACAAGCAGTCCACATATGTTATGTGTTTAATCTAGCAAACCCATTAGACTGCTGAAGCACATGATGCCTCTAACTCTTCTACATCAATGGTGCTTCATCAGGATTTCCACCAGACATGACAATACTATTGATATTGTATGAATTCTTCTGTTCTTTCTTTCTATGTCTGACTTATCTGTCAGCTGCTAGATTTGCTCTACTGGAAATAAAAACAAGAAGAAAAACATGGAAAGAATCATGGATACACAGCATACATGATACCTGTTGATTTGCGCTGGTGCCCAACTATAAAACTGCAACATAAAATCCCCTGTGCATTAATAAGTGTTTTCCCAACAGACCACCATTACAGGAAACCTCAGACTGCAAACATTATTTTGATTATGGCTTGTTTGTCTGCTAAGTTCAATATTTGCAAAAACTTTCCCAGACAGAAAAGCGAGTTTTATGTGCAGCGAAAGAGACGCCAAGGCAGAGTGGAACAGGTCAGACAATACGGAAACAAAGCGGGGAAATAAAGAAAACTTTCAGACCCTGTGGGAGTCTGGTATTCAGTTGTCATAGCACATCCATGCAAAGAAGCCACAATGTCATTGTTTTGCGACTCAGTTTTCATCAACCTTTTTTCACAGGTTCACTTTATCAATACCACAAGCTTCTAAACAGCAGTCAAGTACCAAATGATTCAATATTTGGACTTTCTGCGACTTCCACTCAGTTTGCTGGAGCAGAAATTCAAAATACCTGGATGTGCAGGGAAACATATTTTCAGCCTCTATCGGTCTGAACAGGTTGCCACAGATTAAAGCAGCCGTTGACATTTGTGAAACACACACACACACACTCGGAGCATATGCATTTTACACTGCACACTCTGCAAGCGCTGATGCATATCCTGTGTGCATGTGTGTGTGTACGTGTGTGCATACGAAGGTGACACTGAATGAAGTTTAAAGGCCCACACGGTTATGCTTTGAGGTGCAGATAGTAATCTCTGCTTTACATGATCTATTTCTGTGCACAGTCTGACTCAACCACACACACACACGAATGAAGACTCGTGGGTGACAACACGTACTGTATAGAAGAAGGAATGATGTGAGAGCGAGATACACGGAGAGAAAGACAGAGGATGTTTGGATGACATACAGTAGTTCCTCTCATCCTTGATACCGAGCCGCCTGCTGCACAGGAAGACAAAGTGACACCTCTGACACACACATTCTCACACACACACGGCGCTCAGTTTCTTCTGCTGCCCATCGTATTTGCAACCACCACACATTTGAAAAAGCAAAAGGCCAATCGCTAATCCTAAAACCCTCCAGTGTCACCCCGTTTCCATCCAGAGTTTATAGTTTAATCTTCACCACAGCAGCCATTTCACAGATCTTCCTTCATGTATTATCCTTTATCTGTCCCCGCTCTGCCACTGTTCTTCCACTGCTCCTTTCTCTGACACTCTTTTGATTTGTAATTCAAAATACAACGTTTTTGTCCTTGATGATCATTGTGAGGAGATGCTTATGCTTTGCTATATGTGTTTTCAAGGTTCTGAGGCCTCTTGATCTTTGACCTGCCCATTGTTTCCTGTAGCGTTGATGGTCTACTACACAGAAAACAGCAGCACTGTTGCCTCTCCTTGGATGTGAAAGCTAGTCTAGGATTGCTCCATTTTCTGCTTATCTTCCACGGTATTTTAAATATAGTGGTGGCAACTGCACAAGTAGAGGTAAGAGATCTGCTTGAGCTGTTCTAATGCAATATCTTTTAAAACTGCATCATGTCCTGTGTCTTTATGTACAAATGGTGCTTTGTGTCATCTTCAGTCGTCATCTTCTGATTCTTTATATCACATAAAGCCAGAGAGGATGTATTGTTTTGGGTTTTTTTTTTCATATTACAACTACAGCACTCTGTCACTAATTGTGCCAAGATTTCTATGTGATAAAGAAAAAACTAAAATATTAGTTTTTCTCACTATTAAAGGTACAGGCTCAACAAGGCGATCCAGTAGCTCAACTGGTTGAGTGGGCAACCCATAAACAGGGGCTATGGTCTCTGATGCAGCAGCCATGGGTTCAAATCCGTTTGCTGCAGGTCCTTTCCCTGTACATGTTCAATGAGTTTTACATAATTACAGGGAAAGGGACATTTTTTGACAACTTATTTTTATTTAACACAATTTAGAAACTCAAATTAGAGGGCCTAAACACTCACGAAAACTGATCAAAATCGCCACACACACCAGGACTGGCAAAAAATGTTGATATTTTAAGGGACTTGGACATGTCACTGCCAAAATGGCTCCACAGCGCCACCTTGAAAATTTCAGTGGAGTCCCATTGGAAGCACATTTGGCATGTTTTGAGTGAAAATGGCCCAGCATGCTCGCTGTTTCTCCAACATGGCGGATTTCCTGTTGGGCTTTTTTGTGCGCCACGAGTTGCTACATATGTGTGCCAAATTTCGTAGTTGTAGGTGAAACGCAGCCGCGATGGGACTCTGTTGAAATATTGTAGGGGGCGCAATTGAGCCGTTCTGCATCTTAGAGCTTGGCTCTGGTGGACTTCTTTGTTTGTACCGATCAGCTCTATATGCCTATGAAATTGCGTAGCTCCAGGCCAAACGTGCTTCCAACAGGACTCCGTTGAAATTTTCAAGGTGGCGCTGTGGAGCCATTTTTCTATTGAGGTGTGTATTTCTACCAAATTATAAACATTTTTGCCAGGTCTGATGTGTGTGCCAAGTTTTGTGGAGTTTCAAGTATGTTTAGGGCCTCAAAAACGCGTCTTGTTGTCATGAAGAAATAATAATATTCCCTAGCAGTTCCAATAGAGTCTTCACACCCTTTGGGTACTCGGATCCTAATTAAATAATAATAATAATAATAAAAATGAAAACTAATTTTAAAAAAAGTAACTACTGTGGTAATATAACTCAAAATGTGATGTCCATGCATGTGGACGGCAGGTCTTAAGAGGTTAAAAAGGTAGCAGTAAGTCTATTGTCACATTTCATCATCATAACAGCAAAATACATTTAAATATTTCCTTATTTCCACATTGCATCTATGTTTTGCAACTGTTAGCATCCCAACACGTCCTCTGTCCTCAGTTTTACAGTTTTAGTGACGCTGGCCTAAAACTTTGGAGTCCCCGGCCTGATTATCGTGTGTGCAGAGAGCAGAATTAGCTCATATAACAAACCATTTTAAGCTCGTAAAGGAAAGAAAATTACAGAAACTTTACATCATGGCAGGCAGCAGGAACATTAAAGTGAGCTTCGTCATTTACACTCCCAGCCGAGGTCACACCTCCGGTAATGAAGCTGGCCGGTTGCCTCGGCAACCAGCCGGGAAAAAACAGTGAGAGTAATTCTGGTTAAATGAATACAGCTCAACTGCCTCCTTGTCTTACCGTCTGTTTCTCTGCGTGAGCCTCCCTCTCTTTCTCATGACAAAAGAATCAGCCATTTTAAATCACGTTGATGGTTATTAACACAAAGGTCCTTCTGCACCGTTCTCTCTCTCTCTCTGTCGCTCTGTGTTTAAGGTGCTCTCTGTTTGAGCAGATGGACTTCACCTTGAAGACGACATCATTTTTGGACGTGTTCATCACTCATTTAAATTTATTTTACGAAATGTAACATCTCTCTACACTGGCACCACATTTTACTTCACAAATCTGCTCTCACATTACACACTGTATAATTGTGCTTTTATTTCTGCACATCTTAAAACTGTTTTATTTGCATCAGTTGAGTTTTTAGGTAAACTTGTCTTCTTGTTTTCTTTACAATATTTCACTTAACAGCATCTTACTGTTGCTGTTTTGTTGTTGCTTTAAAAGATTATGGTTTTCATTAATGCCATATTGCAGCTCATATTTTCTTTTATTTATCTAAATCTTTTACCAAAACTTAACGCCATGCATCCTCAAGATAAACCTCTCACTAACACTGTCTTTGCCACTCATTTTATCTTGACAAATACTTTACTTACGACGAATAATACAAAATGCGGCTTTATAAAACCATCTAATGTACTTTCATGTCGTGTAGTTTGAAATGTTGTGTGGCAGTACAAGCTCTAACCATCACACACATGCACACAGAGTTCTTGGTTTTTGGATCCTACCTGGTGTAACTTGTTTGTCCTCTCGCCCAGTTTATCAAGTCCACAAACTGCCCCTGAGGGAGGAAGAGAAACAGAGAACTTTTATGTAAATCCAGCTGTTGTAATCACACTCTGTACTGTAAGACCACGTGCATACAACATCTTCAACTTCTGCACTTGTCCTGACATATCCCCAAATGCAGGCTTTAATGTTGTAGTGCAAAAATACAATGAACTGAAGGTGTGAGCTACCAAGACAATACCTGACAGGGTTGGGGGAGTTAAGCTGGTCAAGCCCGTGACCACTATATTGCCAAAAGTACCTGGACAGACTTGTCCCCAGTGCATTTGCGTATTTTTGATTTGGGTCTTGTTGTAAGTTCAGGAGAAGTTCAACATTTGGGAAATATGCAAATAAATTTTCTGGGCAAGAGTTAATACTTCAGTGCAGACATTCACATACTGTAGATGCAAAATTTTGGGCTGAGCAGCAGAGCGGACACGTCACAGACTGAAAGTTCCACACTGTACTGAGACGACAAGATCAACATTGCCCTGATGTCTGTCAGTTAAATGTAAGGCTACAGCCCGCAGGTGCATAGCGTAGCTTAGCGCAAGAGCTGCATACGATAAATCAATTAGCTGTCAATTGTTAAGTTATTCGCCATCAATTTTGATAAATCGATTGTTTCATCATTTTTTTAAGAAACGAAAAGTCTGAATTATCTGATTTCAGCATCCTAAAATTAACTCTTCTTCGGTTTCTTTCATCTCCAGACAGCAAGCTGAATCTCTTTGGACAAAAACAACACTGGATTAAGTTAATTATAGGCTTTAGGAAGCAATGATTGACGTTTTTCACCATTTTTGGACATTTTATAGAATAAAACCAAATAATTTCAGAGAAAGAAAATAATTCACAGGTTAATTAACAATACAAATAACAGCAAGCTGCAACTCTGCTTAGCACAAAGACAGCAGAGACGGAGAAGCAGCCTTGCTCCATGTGAAGTGAACAAAATCAGCCTAAAGCATCTTTAAAGTTCAACAAAAGTTATATCGCATTACTTTCATCTGTACAAACGTGAGATGTCAAAATGACAAATTGCTGTTTTACAGGGACTATTTCTCAGGAATGATCATTACCTTCCTGGAGTCTCTGCTGGTTGCCTAGCAACTGCTCCCAACCAAAACTATTTCCTTACACCATACCAGATATTTCAGACAATAGTATGCTCTCAGGGTTATCTTTGTGGCAACAGTTTGGGGAAGGTCCTTTCCTGTTTCAGCACTACAATGGCCCCAAGCGTGAAGCCAGGTCCACAAGGAAGCAGTTTTCCAGTTTGGTGTGAAAAAGCTGGCCAAAGTCTTGACCTCAGCTCCATAAAACATCTTTGGGACAAAGAGGAACGCCTGCTGTGATTCAGGCCGAACCACCTGACATTAGTGTTGGACTTCAGTAAAGCTCCTTCCACTAAATATGAGCAAATCCCAGATTAATGCCCAGTGACACTGGGTTTATTGTGCAGGTGTCCGTGTGCTTCTGTTCATGTGATGTAAAAATAAAAACATGGATTGTGAACATAGCTTGAATAGCTTCAAAGGTCAAAAGGTCACGAGCTTCTCTCAGCATATAAATATCAGTGTGGAGTTTAAATTGATGTCAAAAAATTTATTTAGAAAGCAGTTTTAATTTTGTAAAATCTCCATGACAACAGGAGTGACACGCTGATCCTGTGGTTTGTAATCATAAATTTCTAAAAACGCTTCTTCAGTCCCTGAAGTCTCTTGTCTTAGAGGATTCTGAGCATTTGACACTGACATTTCAAACTCTGCGATAAATCCAACGATAAACAAATAAAAACAGATGACATTCTGTCTTAGAGTTTCAGATCACTGGTGTCATCCGTATGTCATCTTGATTTTCAGTTTTCTTTTGTCACTTTTTTCTTTGGATGATGATGTTTTTCCTTTTTTTTTTTTTTTAAAGCCCACTGGGGTTTCTGTTCAGTCTCGCCCGCTGAGATTGGATTTCTTTTCATCCCCTGATATTTTTTGAAGTGTTTTTATCTTTTGTATGGATATGCAAATAAATCACCCTAAACCTACAGCAGTAACTGTGATGGTGTTTTCGTTGTGCTACCACAAACTCAACCGTAGCAGATAATACCAGGTTGGGCTGCAAAGCCTGGGAACGGCGCTCTAAACTGAGTCAGATAGTTACATATACTGTTATTTAACTGTATTAATCTTTAATGGAAAACACATACAATATAAGCAGTAAATAAGATCATCTTGCAACAAGCGCAGCTCAGAAAATAGAAGAAATGTAAAAAGTTTCTGACAGCTGTTACGACCTCGCTCAAGACGTTCGCAACAAAAGGAGAGACATACCAAGTTTCAAAAATTAAAGTTTATCTTTATTCCCTTAAATTATAACAAATTAAAAACCAAACCAATATGGGGCTGTGAGAATACCTAGAGTCAGTGGTGTGTGTGCGTGATGTATGCATGAATTATGTCTGTGCAAGTGTTGTAAATGCAAACGTCCTAAACAAAGAAAACTAACCCATAACCAGACCAATACCTGCGGAGGGAAACAGAGTAGAGAGAGATTAGACTGCAGTCAGCCCTTAAGTAACCCAGGAACACACTGGGTGTCAAACAGCCACTCACAGAACCAATAGATGACCTCAGGGGTCATCATACAGCTCAATTGTTTTGATTAAGAAAATGCCATATACAGGATATGATTTGTGATATGCAAATGTTTACTGATGACATTTTAGTTTTAAAAAATCCCCCTAAAATGCAGGATTTTTTTTATACTGTAGCATTTTAATCTACAGTTTTCAATGTACCTATTTTCCCCAACCAGGCACAGCGTGCGTCACTTCGATGGCCTATATTTCCCAAAGTGATTTTGGACATCCCCTAGAGATAATGCCAGAGTTTTACATGCACATAATAACTCATGAGTCAAGCCTGAAAGTGAAAAACTGAGTGAGAAAGTGAGAGTTTAGCACTTTACTAAAAACTCAAGAGCCGATTTTGCCGTTGAGCCGTATTCTGGGTCTGGTTTCATTTCTGTGGGTGCAGAAAACCAAATAGTTCCCAGTCTGACTGTAGAGTGTCGGCGCAAAATAGCGGCAGCAAATTCTGAGCAACTGACATCAAAAGCTGATGATAACGAGTGCTTTAGCTCACAGGAACCTTTTTTTTTTTTTTTTTTTAAATCATTCTATGCTGGAGTTGCTGGAAATATGATGACATACCATCTGCATTTGGGCAATTATCCATCTATGAATAAGAAAAACAATGAAACCAAACAAGGAAATAGTTGTTTAGAGTGGGCATCTCATTAAATTTAATTTTGGTATCTAAGGCTAGCTTTTCTAACTTTAAATAGGTAGGCTGGATATGTATTATAGATATTTGTCATTCAATTCTGTCTACAGTCAAAAATGAACATTTCAGATATCCACAATGTCTTTACCGTTCATGTGTATGAGGTTTCTTATTACAGATATCCTCATTTCAGCAATGTGCACTGCAGACATCTGCAGCTGAATCATGACAGACTGTAGTTTCAGTTCAAAATGTCTTTAATTGCCTTCAGTTCAAGATGTCTACCCTGTCCTTTTATAGGATACCCTACAAGTTATGTTTGAACAAGTCAGAATGATGTTTTAGATATCTTGAACTGGAGTTATGACAAGTCATCATGTAATTACAGATATCCCGAGCCAAAGCGTTGAGGTGAAACAAAATTTCAGATATTTGTAATTACGTCAGAAGCTACAGCAAGTCAGAGGTGGGGCTGTTTGTTTTTCAAACATACAATGACACTGCAACTCTGACCACATATGACATATTTCCATCATATCAGAGCAGCCTAAGGCCAAAGTTCTGGTAAATTTCGACTACGAGTCTCTAATGAATGAAGCCCTTGTTCTCCACAAACTCTTTGCTGATAAGTTTTTCCTATTTTACAACATTTTCTGACAATCTTATCCACCACAACAACCACCATAACTTCCTTTAACGCTGTCCAAATGCTTTTCTGGGTCAGTATGCAATGTGAAACCTGGTTTGTGTGTCATCATGCACAACAATTCTGACTAGTCATAATGATGTTTGAGATACCTGCAATTAAGTCTTAAAACAGCTTGCCAAAAGTATCAATTAAAAAGCAGTTTATCAAGTCCAAAACCTTTCAAATGCCGCACTGAAACCCAACAGTTACAAGGACTTTCATGTTACACAAGAATTTGATAGACTGCAATTTACTGCTTAGTCACTATCATGATTTTAGGTTGTTCTTTGCTAATAAAACAAAGACTTTTAAAATTAATTTGTTTGTCTTGAGCTTAAAGGAATACTCAAGTACATGAAAGACGCGTGTTGGCTTTGCTACAGGGGACGAGAATCCTGATATCAGGTTTGTTTCTGTGTTTGATGGTCTAGTGTTTAGCCTTGTTAGCACCAGTGTGTAACTTAACAGTGAAATACTAACAAAACTTTCTTAAAGGTGTCACACAAGTCGAAAGTTGTATTTACAAGTTATATCTCAACTATGTGACATTTGAACAAAACAAAATACAAAGATGTGGGTGTTAGCTTGCTGCTAGCTTAAGACGCAGGGCCTAGTTTCTTCTCAACATGCATGTTTTCTTTTCTCAACAGTCCAGTTGATCCTTAGTGGTCGCTAACTTGCTAGCTAACAAGATACAACATGTGAAATAGATCTTTTTGGAGCTTTTGGAGGACATATTCTTGCTTGTTTGACTGCAGCTACTGACTTTGCTTCCAGTGTTTGTGCTAAGCTAATCTGTATAGGCTAAGGTCCTGGACCTCAGAATGCACAAAATATTATAATAATATGAATAGTTTTACATGATTAGCAAAGGTAGCATTCTTCTCTTCTCTAGCATTATCAGTAACAACATAAAATTCACCATTTTAGAATCACCGTTCCCGTCAAATTTACCTAACAAGTTTAAATATTAGAGTTAAGACCCTACGATGTTATATATAATATAATTTAACCCGACTGACTTGAATGTCAAGGTTA